TCCATCCTGCCAGGAAATCCCAGACTCCCTTGGGGCCGAAGCTCCGAAGCTCAATCATGGCATGAGCTCTGTGGTTCATCCTAAACGGGAGTCCAGGCCAAGGCAGCACCCAAAGCCAGGTACATTAAACGTTGATCGCCTTGTTGAGAGCAAATATGCCTGCGGGTCCCGTAGTGCCTGAAGCCGTGTCTTTTCTGGATCGCTGAGGCACAGCATTGGGGAGAGCTGTGTCCATCAGTCAAGGCAGGAGGAGGCCAAGGAGACAGTGTCCCACTTGAGGTCCCGAATCCCTGGGCCTGCTTCCAGCAGGAGAGTGACAGGCTGGCCTTCAAGGCTTTCTGCAGGGGGTGGGGCATTCAGCACCCCCCCCTCACTGGCTCCATCTTCCTTCCAGATGAAGCCAAGGAAGGCCTCCAGGTGCTACTGCAGGAGCTGCTGAGGGAGGACCCGTCTGCTGGGCACCTGGTGGGGCTCCTTGACGTAAGCGTGTGGGAGAGAAGATGGTGGTGAAGGTAGGTCTCTTTTGAGGCTGGGAAGCAAAGATGAGCCTGGCAGGGAGAAATGATCACATCAGCGTCAGCAGAACCACACAAACCAACTTCTTTAGACTTTAGGTTATCATTAATACAAAAAAAATATTCTCTGTAATTATTGGACACCTAGCAGATTTCGTAAATTGGGTTTATCGGGTTGGAGATGTGTTGGATCTGACAGCAGTGCAGACCAGATCCAGCATACACGTTATGGGTGTGTCCCGTTTTCAACTGGTTTTAGGGTAGTAGATGCCAGCCCTGGGTTGGAAAATCTCTGGGAGATTTGGAAGTGGAGCTTGGGGAGAGCAGAGGTTGGGGAAGGGTAGGAACCTTATCAGAGCATAATTCTGTACAGTCCACCTTCCAATGAAGCCGTTTTCTCCAGGGGAACTGAGCTATGTAGGCTTCTCAGGCAGCACCTGACAAGTTGGTGGAGGCAGCATTATGAGAGAATTAAAAATACAAATAAACCGCAGCCTTACGTACTCACTGGATGTTCCTCCTGGAAGTGACAAAGGGTGGCTCTAGGAATCACTGGCCCATAGAGTTTCCAGCGATTGCCAGAGCTACCCTACCCTTTGTCACTTCCAGTAAGAACTTCCAGTAAGTACCTGAGGTGGCATTTAAAGTACAAATCCAAGTGGCCATGGAGAACAGGACCCTGGGGGCAGGGAAGTCCCCACCCCACTGAGGGCTGGGCAGCCCTAGACCTGTGTCCTCTGGACAGCAGCTGTAATTCCTGAAGATCTCCATGGATATGAGACGATTTCACTGAGTGGGAGCCTTATGCAGACAGACAGCATGCAGGGATGAGTGCTGGGTGGGAAAGGATTCACTGGGTATTCTGCTCTGAAGAAGCCTTATGAAACAGGGGTTGGAGCAAGCCCGTCTGCAGATTCATGACCTTTATGCTATTTGTCTGCAATCCAATATTAGTACAAGAAAGAAACAAAGACAATTTACTGTTTGTAAGGACTTTAGATTATTGGACTGTGCTTGTCAACACTGTGGAATCATTTTTCACGTTTATTATGTACAGAAATGTATTTGTATTCATATTAGCATTAATAGTGATCTATTTTTTTGAAAATCTATACAAGAGTGATATTCCCTTCATAGATATATCATGGTTGTCACTGACTATTTTCTCCTCACTTATCCCGCGATCTCTCTTTGTTTATCCCATCCCATGTGGAGGCTGGCAAGTTTACCTTAGGGCTTCATAGAGTTGCCCAAGAGTCTCACGCTGGGACATTCTTTCCTCTCTGCTAAGATGAACATCCCCCATGGATATTGGGGGAACAGGACAGGCCAGGTCCTTGAAGGGAACTTGCTTCCAGGTCCTGTGGAACTTGCTTCCAAGAGATATTCTGTGTCCTTTTCATGCTTATCTGGGGCCGCTTTTGCGAGAAAACCTCAGTGGGCACTGAAGATGCTCTCTGCCTCCGCATCTGCCTCTCCTTTCTTGACCTGCTGCCTCTTTCTGACTGAAGGCTGAGGGACTTGACTCTCGGCACTTCTCCTGGTGTTCCCCACAAGCAGCTCTGCCGGTCCATCGAACTCAAGGGCATTTGCTCTGAGGTGGAGTAGACACCCGCCCTGAGTGAGAGTTTTGAACCCAGGCGGACTGAATCCCAGAGAAGACCTGCCGGGATACTTTTCACTGGAACGTGATCTTGGAAAACTAAAGAATGTACATTAGTTGAGAGCATATCCTGGACACCACACTCTACCAGCCAGCTTTCTCTGAAGACAGAGACCCAGAGGCCAGCCTCGTCTCCTGTGGCCAAGGAACCCACAACCTGCCTCCCTGGCAGCTCAGCCAGGTCTGAAGGAAAACAGCAGTTTAACTGTCTTTTGGGCTCTAACTCCCACCTCCCACGTGTTCTCCCAATATTCTGAAGGCCCTGATTGGCTGTGACATGCCCCATGAATATTCCAACCAGGTTTAAGGCGACTGGTCATTTTCAGGAAATGGGCAGGGCTTTGACTTGTCCGTC